TAATTAAAAAAAAAGAAATTATGAAATATCCAAAAATTACCTTCTCAAAGTAGGTAGGTACAGTAAATATTAAGATTTTTAGTTTTTACCATTGTAGACTATCTACCGTGAAAACGGAGTATGTAAAATATAGTATACACTATACATATTACACAATCACATATTCAACAACGAATTTCCTTAGTAATAGGTACATAATACATAATACATCACTGACTGTACGCTATTTAAAGAAAAAAAGTTCGATAAGACATTAATGCTGAAAATAGGTGTACAAGTACAATAATACAATATACTATTTAAGAAATCGTAATAATTTATAAATAAATGTATTCGACCGTATTTAGTGAATTATTTCTTATAGGTATCAAAATTATAATAATTTGAAATTTGTTATCAATAGTATTATAAGTAAGATATTGTTGGTTTGGCCGGGGCCCTTTAATCGGTAAATATTGATCAGATATCATTATATCAGGCAAACTACAGTGGTCGATACTCATACTCATAGGCACAGCTAGGGCTAAAATTCTGGGGGGATAAGCCTGTCTACCCCTGCCTACCCCAATAGTTGCGCCACCGTATTGGGCTTTAACACAACAATTATAGTGTTAAATATTATTAAACTTAACATTCGATTTAGAAAAAATATGCCAGTCATAAATTATATTTTCCTGGTATGGGAGCGTGACTAGCGCGATTAGTCATAATTTGTAAGTTGTGTTATGCATTTCACTAGTATGGTAATATTTTACATTTGAATATTAAAGAGTAGGTATATACTTACTTACAATGATTGTCTTATGTGGGCAGGTGGAAATCAAACTTGCGTAAAATGGTAACAGTGGTGAGAAAATGTTACCCCACACAAACAGTTGTTGGAATAGAAATCAAGTATACATTTGAATACCTATGTAGTATGTAACTACCCTTTCGATAATCGTGATTTCGATTATGATCGTGGTCATATGGACAGTAATTTTTTTTTTGTACTATTGAGTTAAGGCTAAAGATTTTAGTCGGTTTGGAACAAGTATATTTGTGGTGATGATTTTCCATTAAAAACTCGGGTCATCTGGGAAATAGCGACACCGGCTGATGCTTGGACTTGAGTCACTTGACCTCGGAACACATTAGTGCCTCCAACCACTGCTCCACACCAGGCCACAGTAATCTTATACAATTTTTTTTTTATATAAAAACAGGAAATAGTTTGAGTAATAAATTAGGCTCATCGCACCTACCCTTCTAAAGCACTGGGTGTAGTCATAATATTGTTCTCCGTTGTCGCAGTATATAACCTACCTTATTATTGGTTTTTATCATAGAGAATATAAGAATGGATAGGCCACCAGAATATATTATAACGCGAGAATGAACATTTTGATATTTCAATGGGTCTTATCAATTATATAACAAAATACAAGTACAATTAACAATAAAATCCCTTGCTGGAGTGACAGTGTACTATATAAAATCAGTCTGCCTCTCATTCACATTTCGGACTGCGGCACATTATTTTTTCATATATAGGAATAGCCATCTATGGTTTTTATAAAATTGTAGTAATTAAGTAACATGAGTCTCCGGCGAAATGAAAAATAAACCATTAGGTACCTGCAGAGTGCTCCACGACGAAATGTATCTCTACATCGTAATGATAGAGACACAATTGGTTGGATTGTGTGTGGTGTGCACCAAGTAGTTGACCGATCTCATAATTGCTTACAATGGTCTGGGTCATTGAAGTATATTATAAAACATTTTATGTAAGTGCTCTAAACGGTAACACCGATGTTTATCAGTGTCGTTATTATGATGATATGTATATAATAATATTTAACTCGTACATTTAACTAGTTACGTTACACAAATCATTATTTTCAAAGAAAATAACAAAAAAATTGCCCGTAACACGACCCTAAATGTCACCGTGCGATGAATATTTTATCGTCTACATATACACATGTTAATAAATTATAATAACTTTTATAGACGTAAATAACCTTTACATTTTGGAGGGGGTTAGGTTATTTTGATGAAATTCAAGAAGTATTTTTCATATGGTATATTATATTTTCACGCCTAATATCTGATCAGTTTTTGTGGTCTTACTCATCCGTTTAAGCCTTCTTTTATTTATACCTATGGTGTCAAAATATGTTTAACTTACTTCATTCTACGGTTCAAATTGTTTTGTGAAAAATCAAAATGCATTGAATATTATATTCGACGGAAATCATAAATTATTACGTATTATTATTATCGCGGCATTTTCGTATTTGTCCAGCTAACGATTTCAAAAAAAATAACCGCTACAAGTAAATCATGAAGAAAAATGCATTATTAAACTGCAGGCACCGACGCCACTTTAAATATAATTTATTGTATCACTGATAAAAGCCGTTGATGGCGCAATGGACATGCATTTTTCGAGGTCGAGTATTAAATTACACACACGTTCCCCTCTTCATTTGACGGAATGTGTATAATATAATATAATATATTATAATATGGTGACTAATAAAAATATTGATCCTTCCGGAAATTTCTCAATTTCATCTCGAATGGATGTCACCACAGCGTTGTTTGTTTTGTACACAAATCATTTTTCGTCGTTTAGTAATTTATATTATTAACTCTAAAAAATGATTATTAACATTTATATATCATATTTTAATGTTTCGGTACGGAAATAGTTGAACGAGTTAAGATCTGTACATTTATAAATTTGTACAATGCCAATAGGCATTCAACAATTTACTAAATAATATTCATTTCATACACGAAATAAAACGTCTGATACTTCTATCAGTGACTTATTAAGATTTTAAATATTTATAAAAATTATTATAACCAATGATACCATTTACCAAAATGTTGCGTAGTTTTTACTGAAATGTCTGCAAAACTAGCTTTCATAGTTTATTCCGTGAAAACGGAAGTCTCTCGTACCTACCACCTTAGGTTTGCCGTCTCTTCTTTCACAGATATAAAAATAATTGTGGTCGCAGATCAATGACTGTTGAATTAACCGTTGTTTGTAAACCACAACATTCACCTGTCGTAGTAGTAGTGAACTATAATAGTAAATCACTAACAATAGTGAATAACCAACGCCGCTGCGGTGTTCATAATGATAAAAGTAATAACATTATAAATTATAATACCATACAGTTTCACAGATTTATGTCATTCAAGTTTACGTTTTTCTTTAATACCTACCTATTGAAGGTATTCAAAAGGAACACGACCGGTCTACAAAATGTTTTCACCTAAAAACAATGTCATAAAGATGAATAATATAATAGATGGGGTAAAAAATAAAATTAATATTATTAAACGGATTTAGTTTATTAGGTTTCAAATACAAATATATATATCAAAAATATGGACTACACAATTTGATAGTTTAACTTTACAGTAAGTCATTAAGATCCCTGCAAACAATTACAAATATAAATAATAATAAAAAAAAAAAAACACCAGTCATATTATATACTTGTAAAATGTCTTTTTTTCTTAAATTTTTTATTGTCTTGAATAAAACAGTATCTAATAGTCTTATATTGGCAGTCAATTTGGACTTAATTGACATAGCTGTGGTGTGCGCGTTTTTTTTTCAACACACTCAGGAGTGTGTATACACCAAGTGGTCATCGTACAGTTAAATATCAATATGGAATGTTGAATAATTAATTTTGAGCGTACATGATAATTCGTCGAGATATGCACATCAATAATATTACTATATATATATATATATATGTAGTACAAAAAGGCACTTATGGAATTTCATTGTTAACATACATATTTAAATAATATATAGCTAATAATAATAATATAAAATAAATGTAATATATTATAAGAACTTAAGAACTAGACAAAAAAAAAAAAAAAAAAGTCAGTATTAAAACTAAATCTAAAATAATAATTATTACAGCTAATTAGCATCACATATATGTTTCATGATTATCTTTATATAGTTCATAAATGACATTCACGAGGGCCCATTTTCTCTTTTTTTTTTTTTACGTATTTACATATTTAATAAGAAAGAATAAGACAATTTTGTACAATGTTTGTGCGAAATTCGATAATTTACTTTTTTGTTGTTGTACAGGTAGATAAAAAAATTAAGGTTTTATTACCTGAATATGTTTGATTGTGGAATGTTAATGAAAAAGTAATATTAGTTAAAATTAATATAAATACATAAAACACGTGAACACATAGTTTGCTCAAAATGGAAGACTCGAAAGATGTTTCGATTATTGCAAAATATACCAGTAATGTAACCAGTAACACTATTATGAAACTATGAAGTGGCACTACCACTGCAGTGGGTAGTGACAACGATGAATCTTAACATAATTTATAGTATTTAGATGAATACATATTGTAACTAATAAGGAGTAAACAGTTAAGTTTTAAGTAATCTGCAGAGATGAATTATTAACAAGTAAATATTGTTAATGGCCAATCATTATTTTCAGGAGGATTAAGTAGCATGAAACCACAGGTTGTCAATGCTCTAAATATTATGTTAACATTAGGTGTCTTAAAGAATGCAACCAAATATCACATTCGCAACACATGCCCGTAGCTTGCTCAGATGCCACAGAAGTTATATTGTACGTTATATAGAAGAAAAAAATGAGACCAACAATAATATATCTTGTTACAAAAATAATGATATAAAAGAAAATATTGTGAAAATTGTCAATCATATTTTAAAAACCAAGAAGGTTATTCATGAACACAACATTTTTTTAACTGCACAACCCCTGTGTTCTCCGATAAAGGTGATCGGACATTAATTTTAAAAATATCATGAATAGACAGCGACATGCTTCTATATGGGGTGATAAAAATTATATTGAAAAAATAAAACAAATTGTCTAAAATTATTGCTTATCCATTCTTTGATTACCCTAAGCTAACAATGTTTTGTTTAATTTAGTTTTTAAATACAAATTTGAAGTTGAATCAAGTCATATTTATACGCTCTGCTTACCGTCCAACCGCTTGGCTAAGTCTGATACAAGCTCCTTGAAAATTAAGGGGTCAATGTTCTTTCCCAACTGGTACAATACAAACCAATCACCGATCTGGCACTTCTTGGTAATGGTTTCAACTTCGTCCTGAGGAGCCAAACGAGATCTTGCTCTCAACAACAACAAACGGAATTTGGGCATCACTACAACGGCTGTGCGGTACACCAAGTTGAGACCACTGAGTACGGCAATGAACAAGAACCAGAACCACAGGAACACATAGATTTTTTCGTTGACAATGTTGAGTGGCAACACACAAAGACCGTCTAACTTCTGGATGGATCCAGATGGACCATATTTGTGGAATGTACACTTTGTAACTTTCGGGAACACCCGGGCCATGGGATCTTCACGTTCTTCTGGCTCCATTTCGGTGAACCGCAGCACATCCGAGCCGTACGTACTGAACTCACCTTCGAGGAAGTAGTCCATGAAGAAAATCTGCGCGATGACGTTGACGAAGTTGAGGAACTCGCACAGGAAGAAGCGTATGGCGTAGAAGTTCTGCGTGTGCAGATTGGTGGCAAAGTAGTCGATCAGCAGCTTCTTGCGGTCGTTCTTGCACTCCTCGCTGATGATCGGGCAGTTGAGGTCGAGCACGAGCATCTTGATGCGGCCACCCTCCCACGTTTTCCACATGTACCTGGGCAGGTAGAAGAACATTGCTTGGAAGAAGAGCACGAAGCACACCCACTGGTAGTACTTGTGGTACTTGACCTCGTCCTCGCCGTCCACGTGGGACGCGACGCCCGGCTGGACCACGTCTTTGCCGATGCGGCCACCGAGACGGTTGGGTATGGTGAACGTCGAGTATATCCAACAGTACGTGTCCATGATGTTGAGCGGCACATCGTCGACGATGCAATCGATCGGGTCGCCGATGTACTGGCGGGACGTGACGAGCAACGAGAACGACACCAGGATGATGACGGTCACCTTGTAGTGCAACCGGAATATGTTGTTGTCGATGCACACGCTGTCGATTTTCAGCAGCCCCTTGACGGAGCCGAACACGTCGAACATGGCGGCGGCGGCGGCGGAAGCTCAAACGCGGGTTATACTCACTAGACGGGAAACACACCGCCGGAAATCGGAAACTCGTCGTCGACGGCGGCGGCGGCGGTCGTCGGGACGAAGAAACGAGGAGAAAACGTTTTCAACCCGATCTCACGTGCGTGACGGGGAGCGCGTCATTTGTATAGAGATCGGCCGCGAAGTGTGTGTCGTGTGTGCACGTCGATTGTCGGCGCGCGCGCGAGCACAAATGCATACGACGAAGACAATAATATTTGAATCGTTTCCGAAAGAGGGCGAAAAAAAAAACTCGATAAACCGAACACGGTCACATGGATGGTACACACGAACGTCGGACGAGCTCGGCCGTTTCTCGTGGAATGATTCGCGGCGGCGGGCGGCGGCCTGCGCGTACTGCGTGCGGTGGGGCGACGGCTGATTGTGCGTGCGCGTGCGCGTGAACGTTGTCGGCGCGGCGTTGCGTCCGTGTGTGCAACTGTGACGGTTGCCGTTTCAGGTGGGGACGGGTGGAGGGTGGTGTCGGGTCAATGGAGTCGGGCGGCGCATGCGCGAAACGCCGCTCCGACGGGCCTGCCTGCCGCCGGCTGGTCGCTACTACCCGTACGCGAACGGGTCTCTCTGGCCGCCACTCTCTTTTGTTAACGACGCTTCGCCGTCGTCGGCGACAATACACCGAAGGGAAAACCGGTTGTGGTGTTGTGAGCTCTCTCTCACTCTTTCCAATGGCGGCCGGGCCGGACGACCGATCGGCACAACATTCCACGCTCGGCGTGTCGTCTCCGCACCGCCGCCGACCGACTCCGATGGCTGTGCGGCAGACGGTCGGCCGGCCAGCCAGCCAGCCACCGGTTCGCGAGCGCTAGCGGTCGGCGGCGGGACGGCTTCTACACTACCCGGGCGCGGTGCACGCCGACGACGCCGCCGCGGGTTCCCAATTTGTGCCGCTGCGACGATCCTCGTTCAAAAATACGTTTCGCGTCGACGCCCATTTATCCGAGTATCGTACCCGTGTACTCTATATGGTTGAAACGAATCGGTTCAAAAAACGTTTCGATAAACGTAGTCGCACCGGATCAGCATTGCAGCCGATAATAACGCCCAAAGTTGGCGCTCTTCGTATCGTATCATTAAAACATCGTAGACGTATACATTTAGCGTAAACCCGTTCGTTTTCATCGTCGACGAGTGTTTCGCGTAAGCCACATTAGCCCATTACTATGATCACGCGCGACCCCATCATCATTATGATCCATCATACTTACCATAATATACTCGCCACTCGGGTGCATGTGAAATATCGCTTGTTAATTGGCCTGAGCATATTATAATATTATATCGTGCATTTTTTTCGTCATGACCATTTGAGTGTGCCACCTACAACTATTATACCATATTCGTACACGAAACGTGACGGATCAATTAGGTGCTATATATATTATAATCATACCCCTAAACGACCAATAATCGATCTATCGTAACCACGACGGAACGTTCCTCTTACTGTACGCGTTCAATATGGATCACAGACCGTCGTGTAAATATTTAGCCGATCACACAGAAATGTATGTTGTGTGGTATCGTTTAACGACACTAGGAATACGTACCTACAATTAATCGGTTTTAAAGTACACAATATAATATCTGATAGTATGTGAGTACTTTCCGAGAGATTAAGAGGACGCCACACCCGCATGTGTTGTCTCCGTCTTACAAACGCGTAACATAACAAATTACGTCCACGAAAAACAAACGAATCGGCATCAAAAAGTGGTTTTATAGTAAAAATATCTATAATAAAACCTTAAGAGAACAATATTTTGGAGGGAACCTCATCGGCGTTTTTAAAAATATTAACTATTAAAAAAGTTGTGGTTATTTAAAAAAATGAGTTTTTGTGCCTTCAATATCTAGCTGTGTATTTAGATTAATACAAAACCCCGATGAGGTTCCCTCCGAAATATTGTTCTCTTTAAGTTTTATTATAGGTATTTTTACTCTAAAACCACTTTTTGATGCCGATTCGTTTGTTTTCCGTGGACGTAATTTGCTATGTTACGCGTTTGTAAGACGGAGACAACACATGCGGGTGTGGCGTCCTCTTAAGAGAAAATACATACTATTAATTTCATATTATAATATTTATAATCCAGCCCGAAAAATATTGCTGCGTCTACCTAACTACCTATTGCAACTCTCTGCAATTCTTGATGCAAATACAGTATGCTACATGAAATCTGTAAAAATCGCTTCGTTTTAGAACACTTTCATTTATTCGTTAGTGATAACGGGCCTTATCAGTGATTTTAAGCGCATATCCATCAGACAATCGGGTTGTAGTAGTTAAACTACGATGTTCCGATGCATCAGTGCTTTCGATGCTTTGAATTTCAGAAATCTCTAGCTTGAAAATACGATGCATTTTAGAACTGGTTTTTCATTTCGATAGCAATACGTATCCAAAGCGTTGCAATAACTCGACGTCGGTAATACGCACGTCTGAGCAGGTGTCTTACCGGTGCTTAAACGATAATTAAATTAAACAAACGGTATACAATGTTTTTCGATTAGATAGGTACGTTAAGTACAAGTTGTAACTCATAAAATAATCGAAACATTAGTAATTGATCGAAACGACGGTTAAATCAACGCAACAACGTATATGGTATATTATATTTTCAAGCATTACGCACTTACCGTGAACGTTTTTTGCTTTTATTTTAATTTTTATTTTTGAGTATAAAATAATAAGTTTCTTTAAACATTTTTTATTACCTAAAAATCGTACGACAAAAAACTATTTTTTTTACACTGTTTACGTTAACAACGCTTGAACATTTTTTTGTCTTCGATATCTAATTTCAAAAACCTTGGTCACCGTGTGTGCCTCACTGCAACCGCCAACCGGTCGACGTTCACTATATTATGTTGTTATACTTGTAGGTATCTAAACTTTTATAGTATATTATGTACAAACACAGTATAGAAATACAAAAATACTATAAACTCGTCAAAACTGCTGCATTGCATTGTATATACTATGACGTGTAGGTCGTCACATAATAATAATATTATATTATGACGTTAAACAATGACCGATCCTCGATTCGTTCGATTGTCTGTGGTGCACTTCGTGTTTATGGCGAAAAAAATTAACAATAATATAAATGAATAGGTAATCACGAACAAATAATGGTAAGTACATCAGTGACTGTACAGTGTACACCCTAATGAGTAATGACCTCGTACATACAAATGACGTATAATGATAGTAATTTGATTATTAAGATTGAATCATTTTTCGTCGATCCTTCGGCTGGAGTAAAAACTGCACGCTGCCCCTACAATATAACAGCTATAGATGCCTAGATGACACATGCGGTTAATCATATGATTCTTAAATTTCAGTAGGTACTTAAGCCTTGTGCCCATATATACCTAAACGGTATGAACAGCAGATATAACAACTTACGACGTGCAGAGATATTTTATTCGTTCACCTTCGCTAAAGAAAACGTTCCGAGAAATAAAAACCGTTCGATCATAATATAGATCGTAAATATTAGTCATTAGTCATACCTAGCGCTATGTACATGGTGTCTTGGTTTCGACTTTACCTGTGTATAAAGTATGCTAAACGTATTTGCAGTACCTACCCAGAAGCCGGTCCTGCTCCTGCAGTCGAGACGAGGCATGCTGCAGCAAACCCGATCGTATAATCATATGCACAAGTATGTACGTATAAGTTACGAAATTCGTACTCGTTTCGTGTCGTGGAGTATATTATTTATAATTATATCCGATCGAACACGAATCGTCGCGTGTTAGCCGGAGGAAACGGTGTAGGTCAAACTCAAGGCGAGAAATGTTTCGAACGATATTATAAATATAATAATGTTATAGACGCATTTCTCGCCGGCAGTGTGTTGTACTCGTATTACAATACGATATTTTGTCCACTCGACCAATAACTGTTACGACTTACAATATATAAAAGGTAATATTATTACATAATCGTACCCGTGATATAATGTATGGAATAATATATTAATATCCCACCGGTTGTCCACGGGCGGATTCCCTCGGGAATGGAGGAACTTCGGATTCCCAGTGTGATTTTTTTCCTTCCCCGGGGTAACAAGCAATATTATGTTTACAGATTAAAACATTGTGTATACAGCTGCATGATACATAGGCGTGGGCCAGGTGGGCCGTGACCCACCTTGCGTGTTGTACCATACTTATTATAGATGGCAACTTGGATCATATAAATAGTTGTATTGTAGGCATGGGAATTCTGATGTTTGATTTTCCTATATCAACAAAATTAACGAGATTCTCTTAAATCTATGAAATATGCAAACAAAAAATGGTTCTATTTAATCGAGGATAAGATGAATCGTGGACATATGTCACAACCAATCAATTTGGACTTAAGGAAAATAATATGCAAATGCATATAAATCCTAACCCTACTCATGGATAAAAATATATATATTATACCTCAAAATTAAAACAGTGGGTGATGATCGGTGAGTAAATGAATGTAATTTTATAGATAACAGTGTGTAACACCTAAAATAATTTGTTTTCAAGTATATCATTGGTCCCACCCTGCCACAACGGGCTGAGCACGTCTATGGCATGATATATCGTTGGTATACCGAGAAATGTCTTCCGAACTAGGTGGTTCGGACGGAGGAAAAACAACTGTTGTCGAGGACAATAAGAGCACCGAGAGTCCGAGACCTCAGGGGATTTTAGAGGAGATGGAGAAAATAAAAGACGATTTTAGAATACGTGCGTTTATTATATTTTCAAACTCAAACGGTCAGGCAAAAGAAAAAACGGTCACATTCCCTCTTTTCTATGGGCTTGCATATTATACATGTATAGAAATACAACCCATGTCGTTTGTTGTGTTGTCTATCGACAAAAACGCATCTCGATCGTCGGTCAAAAGTAATACACCAATGGTTATTACTTATTATATATAGGATACTGCTATATATACTACGAATGTGCATCATCGCTGGCGCCCAACATAGTTTCAAAACGGTCCGTTTTCGAACGACGTCTGTGCATTATTGTTATTTATCATCTCTGTATTTATTGGTAGTTGGTACGAACTCGACCGGTACTCAACCATCCGTAGTAGACGCTACCCTGCTATTACCCATTTACCCTCAAAATATTATTGTTCTCCGACAACAAATGCACGATATCATATTAATATATAAGGGCCGAAGCCATTTCCTTCAAAAATGAAATATAATATACTGTACGTATATACTCCTCCATTATCGAAATAAGAAATAATTTGCATCATGATTTTTTCTACGTAATACCATAAATACTAGTATTTATAATCAATGGTATTACAAATTAAATAAATAGTTTTAATTTTTGGTGAAAAATCGTCCCACCCAATGTAAGCAATTTGTTGGGTGGTTGATTTGAAGATAATAATTTACGAAAAAATATTATTTTCAAAATCATAACCTCTAGTTACTGTAATGAAAGATAAGAAATATTTTCCTATTTCCTATAATGGCCTAACGTATCTGGGTATAGGTATAATTGATTTTTTAGTTGAAATAATTTAGAGAATAAATGGAAATTATTGTGTATAGATAAAGCAATAGTCTACTAACAATATTTCAGCGAATTTTTGTTTTGTTTACATTATGTCAATACCAGACTCAAGTAAAATCTAAAAAATGCAATATTTCATCTTTAATAACTGAACGAATACAAAAATAGGCGCAAATTGTGTGACTTTGGGGGGGGGAGGGGGACTAAAGCTCTGGTCTATATCGGATAGGTACTCTTATAGTTATGATGCTTTTACATTATACCATGTTCAAGACATAAGTTTTTTTTTTTTAGTAGTTCTAGTGGGTTTAAACCCCCAGCCCTCCCTTATTTTCGCCTATGAATACAAACAAAATATTTTTATAATAGTACCTAACATAATATTATATCGTACATTAATAAAAGTGATAAAAATGTACACAGTAAATATTTGAAAAAAAATTCATGTCGAAAAACTGAGAAACTGCAGACTGCAGATTTTCGATTATGGTGTGTGGGGGGAGGAACCTGGTCGCATCACCTGCAGCGTAAATACGTGATTTATTAATATATATATAATATGTATATACCTTCTACAGTCCACTGTCGACATAATATTGTGTTCGGCGCCACCGCAGTGCAGCTGCGAGGTGTGGGGCTCTTTCGGAGAAACGGAAATCGCGAATCCTTACAATATACAATGCATCAGTAACCTGCGTATTCAGTATAAACTATTCACTTTTCAGTCGGACAGATGAAAAATAAGTTATTTTTTCAGAGACTTTTCTAACACTACTCAAACATAATATATCTGCAAGAACGTATACACATACTATACACACCAGCGCACTTGCAGTATATATTATAATATGTACATAGTGCGTTGTGTATACCTCTATATACACGCTCGAGCATTCGGCCGTTCTCGTTCGAAATAATATGTATAAAACGTCTCGTCGTCGTCTTATTATATATAATAATATCTCGTAAACGGTCATTAAATTCGTGCGTGGGAAATTTCACCAGTCGTGATTGTAGTACGCTTGTAGCAGGTACATAGTTTAATAAACCTAAGGTATATTATGTTATATAGTCTCGTGGTATCGGCAGTCGGGTTTCTCACAAATCATCCGGGGTTGGTTGTGTGGCGACGTCGGCCAAGTGCGATTGTTTTCTCAGCGTTTTAAAAAATACACACACACATATTTAAACTCTTACCATCCATACATAATACCGAATGTATATTATATATTACGTGTGTGTGTTTCCTTGTCGTATGCCCAGAGAAAATTACGGATAAGGTTAGGCGTGTATTGTATGTAAGTGTGTTCAACTGTGTTGTGTGTACAGCGGAGCTCGCATAATCGTTTATACGCGCCGCCACCGCCGCAGACGACAATAATAATGTATAATACGATTCAATAATCATAACCCGGTCCTGTCGAGTCGTCCTGCAGTTATGCGGTAAAAAAAGATAAAATAATCATATTATATTACATCGTATGATATAAACGAAACGAAACTAAATTTAAAATAAATATAATGTCAAACAAACGAGACGTGGTTGAGTAAGCCACGCAGTACAGCACTTCACACAGAAATGTAGTTAACAACAAGGGAGGATTTTTAGTTTTGTCCGGACAAGACATTTATTGTGCAGATGACCTTCGAAAAGATTTCCCCTCAACAATGCCATAATATATATTACATACAACGAGTGGAGCCAGGCCGTCCTTAGGATTTGCAAAGCCCAGGGCGAAAACCAATTTTTAAACCAATGTAACCACTTTTTTCAAACTCGAGGCCTCCAAATGTAAGAAAAAAGCGTGAGGCCCAGGGTCTGGGCACTGCTTGCCCCTCCCCCCCCTAAAGACGGCTCCGCGTGGAGCAGTTTACTGGATAGTCCTCATATTGAGATGTATACTGTTTATATATATATTATTTCGAATTTGCGCTGACAAAGAAAACGGATACACTCCATGCGTCTATATGTGGACGCTATTCGCTCCAATACCTATAGTACGATTTCAAATCAAATTTGTAACATTTAAAAATCAGTTAACTGTTAAGGCATGGACAGGAAAAAAGTCATACGCGTATGATACGTATAGTATAACCCGAAAAGTCCAAGAAGTGGGACCGAGGTCGCTGTTCACAACTCATCGCCCCCATATTTTAGGGCATAGGCAATAAATGGCAAATTTTATTATTTAAAACGAGACAATATTATATGGCGATAAATAAATTAATACAGTCTATATTAATTAGGAAACGAGATACCCATTGGTATATGTACATATGTATAATACCATTAGGCATTGCTTATATGGATTACGGTACGTGTGCTCAAATTTATAGTTGAAAACGTTATAGACTATTTGATCATTTTCGGCATAGTTGTTGTTGACTTCTAAGTCATTTTATGTTGGACAATACTATTATAACTATTTATGGTTGAAACTTGAAATGTATACTATTGTACCAAAAATAATGAGCATACTTACCTACGTTGCATACGTTCATCGCGGTCATCGATGCAATCGATCAGAATGACGGAATTGGCCTGATATTAGATGGATTGGCAGGACTCCCTGCAGTCACCAGATTGCAGTTTCATAAATATATCAAAATACCATAATATGATTGTGTCTTTTAAATTATAATTTTGTCATAGAGTGTGATATCTTGGTTTATTATAGGAGTAGGAGAAGACCGGGAATATTTAACTATATATTGTCCGATTTTCAATTAATAAAATTTTTGAGTTCCTGAAATGTAAACGTCTATTATAAACCTATCTTAGTTAGGTTAGAAAATACTGACGCGTTCGCTCTATTTTGTATACGGACCGATGATATCTCGGCGATGACGCGTATACGTAATATAAATTACCTATGTCATCACGATGTCGTAATATGCCTTGAAAACAGTAGTGAGCTATTCATTTAAGTTCGATAACACTTATTAATGCGCATCGCACATAGCTAATTGCAAATATACTATAAAATATACTATAGTATTGTGTATAATACTATAACATAATATATATATATATAAATACAATGATTTTTGGTCTGACTGTAATTAATAAACTAAAAACTACTGGACTGTTTTCAATAAAAGATATTATATCAATAGATTCCTTGTGACTTGGAGGGTGTTTATAGCTTATTTTTAGACCCATATAGGGAACTAAAGTAATGTTTTTTCATTGTTTATTTAAATAGTTGCCATTGGTCAATGGTCACATTATTATTATATCGCTATAGTTATTAAAATAAATTAGGAGAAATATGGCATATACGTTTTTTTACAAATATAGTAATTATAAAAAAGAGGGTAAGGCTCTGCTGTACAGTAGGTTACAGTGGGTCATTGTATAATGGATTGTATTAAACTTGAATTCGATGATATTCTATCATTGTATAAGAAAAACGATTCTGAGCGGGGATGGTTTTTCAGTCTGGATGTTTTATATTGTCATTAATTATTATATCATGTAAGTTGAATTAATATTATAATATTATTATTTTTTATTCGTTTCTATGGTAATAAACAAAGCTTTAGAAATTAAAATCCAATTTTTAGCGGTTTTAGTAATTTTTCGGTGATTTTTACCGTGGCATTAAATAACTATTGATAAAATCGAAAAACGACCTTTCTAAAGTACCATCTTGATCCAATTTGCTAAAAGATAAGGTACTATATGTTGAAATCGAAGAAGTCCTTCTGGTAGAAATTTTGTTTACAGGATATAAAAATAATAAATAAATAAACACCATTGTAAAACCATTAGCTTCCTCTCTCTGCTCAGAATCTAAAAAAACAAATCTTTGGCACGGGCAACGCCAGGTGGGATAGCTAGTGTTATTATAATATATTATAGTAGGTACCTAAATGGTTTACTACCATGGCAATCTTAACAACATTTCCTAGTTAGCGGGTGCCGATGACGCAGGAAGGAAAACAAAATAGATAATACAACAAACGGCAGTGTTTTTATAATTTATATATTATATAATACAATATGCGACTATCACGAGTGAAAAAATACGATGAATACGCCGGAATGTTATGTATTATAAATTATAATATTATATATGCGAAGCTGATTCATATATTCAATGTAAAATAAGACGTAGCTACAGACGAACCCATTGTTTCGTCGGTATCGAAAACGTTTAAGCCGATAATATAATATTTTTATACATAGAACAAACCAAACAGGAAAAGTAGAATAATATATATATATGTAAAAAAAACAACGATTTTTTGTATATACAATCGCTTTTGTCCCTATCAATGAATTTTTCTGCAGTGTAATACCTACGTGGATTAACAAATTATCACTTATTTGTATAGTTTAAATCTAAAATTATTTATATATTTATACAAATATCACTAAGTATAGACTATATTTCCG